CCTTCCTCCCTTAGGGGAGAAAACACGTTCATAAATGTCTATACAGAATATTGGAGGCAGCTGGGTGGCTCAGTGTATAGAGCGCTGGGCCTAGAGTCAGGAAGACCTGAGTTCAAATCCAGTCTCAAACACTTACTAGCTGTATGACACTGGGCAAGTCACTTAGCCTCTGTTTACCTTAATCCACTGGAGAAGGAAATGGAAAACCACTCTCATATCTTTGCCAAGAAAACCCCAAGGACAGCATTGGCATGATATGGTCCACAGGGTTACGAAGAGTTGGACACAGCTGAATGACTGAGCAACAACAACAAATAGAATATACACGAACAATGTAAGTGAGTATATGAATGTCAGCTGTGTGACCACAGGCCTTCTGAGCATCAGTTTCCCATTTGTAAAATAAAGTTTGTACAAATGATTTTAAAGATTCTTTTCATTCTAAAATGCTATGAGTCTATAAGTTATACATATAGGGAAATGTGTGTGTGTGCATATATCCACCATTCATCTTCCTGAAACTAGAAGCATCTTGTCCCTGGAATGTACAGTCCCATCAATGGGATCTGATAGGTTCCAATGGTCATGATGGATTGTTTTGATTTTTTAAGGAAATAGTTAAGAGGTCTCATAAGCCCCTTCCCCCATGAAATCCCTCCACCCGTGAAACCAACTCCCATGAAGAGAGGGTGGCAGCAGAATGGAGGGAAAGGCAGACAAAAGGGATAAGCCAGAGATATGTTGAAACCACAGACAGTAGCAGTTCCCAGATAGAGACAGAGGAAGAATAGTCAGTGTGATATCTTCTTTAATACTCTAGGACTCAGCTTTACAGCATTGCCTTAGTCACCATTGAACTTCAGCGAGATTGCCACTGTCCTGTAAACTAGAGACCTGCTGGAGAACAGAGGCCATGAGCTCAGCAATGTCCCCAAAGACATCATTGTGGGCACAGTTCTATCAATGTTCCAGAGCAGAAAAGAACACTGGGACTGAGTTTAGGTCATGGGAAGTGTGTGTTATGCCTGGTAGGTTAAAAAATATTTTGTTAACTTAATTATAGATCTCAAATCTCTGTGTAGTTTTTAAAGTTTAAAGTTTGTAAAAAGTTTTCCTCACAACAACTCCTTGAGGTAGGTATGTAAGTATTAGGTGTTTTTAGACGAGGAAACTGAGGCCCAAATAAGTAAATTATCGTGTTGAAGGTCACATGACTAATAATAACTGAAATTTATGCTGCCTTTTATGATTTAAAAATCTATTAGATAATAATAATAATAATACTTGCTAGCATTTATGGTTTATTTAGCATTTATAGCTTTATGGTTTGCAAAGCATTGTATATATGTTGTCTGTCAATCTTGGAACAATCCCTGTGAGGTAGGTGCTATTACTATCCCCATTTTACAGATGAGGAAACTGAGGCTGAGGTTAAGTAACTTGCCCAGAGTCACACAGTTATTGTCTGAGGCATAATTTGAACTCATGTATTTCTGATTTCAAGCCAAACCTAGGTGACCTATATCTCATTTGATTCTCATAACAATCTTTTATGCAAATTAATCCATAAGCATTATTATGGGTTTTCTATGTGCCAAGCACAGTGCTAGGTCTTGGGATTCAAATACTAAAATGGAACAGTCTCAAGCCAATATTCAGTTGCGAGGAAACAATAGGCATGCAGACACAGAGATAAATATAGAATTTAAACAAAATAAATAAAAAGCAATTTCCCAGTGAGGAGGCACTAATGTGCCCATGGATCAAGAAAGGAAGGAAGCATCCTCTTATAGGGCTTTGAGGGAAGCCAGGGATTTTAAAAGGCAGAGGTAAGAAGGGGTTGCAATTCAGGTAAGAGGGGATAATTTGTGCAAAGACATGGAGACAAGAGACAGAATGTTGTGAGGGAGAAACAAGTAGGTCACTTGAGCTGGGACACAAAGTATATTAAGGGGAATAAACTGTAATAGGGTTAGAAAGGGAGTCTGAAGTCAAGTCAAGTCAACAGTATTTCTTAAGCATCTATGATACTCCAGGCCCTATTTTGAGTGCTGAGGATACCAAGAAAGGCAAAAAACAGTCCCTGCTCTCAAGTTTTCAATTGGAGTTTACTGAGTGGAGGATAGGGGGGTGGCGATCATGGTTAGACATGCACTTTAGGAAAATCACTTCAGTAGCTGAGTGGATGATGGGCTGGAGTAGGGAGGCATGAGACAGGGAGGCCATCCAGAAGGTTATTTCAATAATCTAGGTAATAATACCTGGTGATAAGGGCCTGTACTGGAGTGGTGGCAGTGTCAGAGGAGAGAAGGGAGCATATAGTACCAAAAATGTTACAATGCTAGAAATGATAGGAGTTGATAACTTATTGGATATGAGCAATGGCAAAGAATGAGGAACTGAGAATGACAACTAGGTTGAGAACCTGGGTGATTGGAGGATGGAGGTGCCTTCAGCAATACTAGAGAAATTAGAAAGAGGAGAGGGTTTCTGGGGAAAGATAATGAATTTAGTTTTGTTCTGTTTAGGATGTCCAGGGGCAACTAGGTGGCGCAGTGGATAGACCACTGGCCCTGACGTCAGACGGACCCTAGTTCAAATCTGGCCTCAGACCAAACACTTGACGCTTCCTAGCTGTGTGACCCTGGGCAAGTCACTTAACCCCAATTGCCTAAAAATAAAAAAAAAATAAAAAGATGTCCAATAAGCAGTTGGAGATACAGGACTGGATGTCTGGAAAGGTTAGGGCTAGAAAAAGAGATCTGAGAATTATCTATGTGGAGATGGTAAATAAATCCATGGAAGCTGTTTAGAGCACTAAGCAAAATAATATGATGGGAGAGTGTGAAGAGAGCCTTGTGGGACATTGACAGTTAGTGGGCATGCCTTGGATGAATTTCCAGGAAAGGAGACTGATAAGGAATGGTCAGACAGGGAGGAGGAGGAGGGGAGAGAGAAAGAGAGAGAGAGAGAGAGAGAGAGAGGAGAGAGAGAGAGAGAGAGAGAAGAGAGAGGAGGAGAGAGAGAGAGAGAGAAATGGCATGAAAACCTAGAGAGAAGAAGGTTATGGACAACATCAAAGTTTCCTGAGAAGTCAAGAAGAATGAAGGTTGAGAAAAGACCATTAGAATTTGACAATTAAGAGATCATTGGTAACTTTGGAGAGAGTAGTTCCAGCCAGATTATGAAGGACTTTGAATGCCAAATGAAGGAATTTGCTTTTTTTTTTTAATTTAAATTTTAGAGGCAACAGGGAGCCAATGAAGCTTCTTGAGCAGGAGAGTGATTTAAACATACATGACATGGTGTTTAGAAATATCACTTTGAATGTACTGTGTACAAAGTAACAACAGTATTCTAAGATGATCATCTGCAAATGACTTAGCTATTCTCAGCAATAATGATCCAAGACAACTCTGAAGGACTTATGATGAAAAATGCTATCCATTCCCAGAGAAAGAACTGATGTTCTGAATACAGATTGATGCATTTTTTTTACTTTATTTTTCTTGAGGCTTTTTTTGTTTATGTTTTGTTTTGCAGCATCATTATTATGGAAATGTTTTGCATGATGACACATGTATAAATCTATATCGAATTGCTTGCCTTCTCAAGGGAGGGTAGGATGAGGAGGGAGGAAAGGAGAGAATTTGGAACTCAAAGTTTTAAAAGAAATTTACAAAAATCATTTTTACATGATTGGGGAAAAATAAATACCAAATAATTTTTAAAAAAAAAGAAAAGAAATATCACTTTGGCATCTATGTGGAGGAAAGACTGGAAAGGAGACTTTGAAGAAAAGAGAAAAGAGGTTACTGCAACAGTCAAGGAAAGAGGTGATAAAAGCTTGAACTAGACTAGTACCACTCTGAATGGAGAGAAAGGTGAAGATATAAGAGAAATTGTGGAGGTAGAACTGATGAAACTTGGCAACTGATCACATATGAGGTTTATGGGACAGTGAAGATGTAAAGACAACTACATACTTGCACAGTTGAGTGCCTGGGAGGATGTGGAACCTTTGAATGAAGTGGAACTTAGGAAGAGGGGTGGTTTTGGTGGTAAAAATCACAAGTTCTGTCATGAACATGTGCCTGTAAGACTTCCAGTTGGAAGTGTCCAATAGGCAGTTGGTGATACAATACTAGAGTTCAGGAGAGAGATGATTAAATATATAAATCTGGGAGTCATCTGGACAGAGGAAATGTGCAATGTTATGTCCATTTTACAGATGAAGAAACTGACTTTTGGAAGGGGGAAATCACATTCCCCAAATCACAGAACTAGTCACTGGCAGAGCTAAAGCTAGACTCTAGGCCAACTGACTCCCAGTTCAGTGTTTTCCCACTATGTTAAGTAAATTATTTTTTGAGTACTAATGTATAGGCAGATATGTTATTTTTTGAATACTAATGTATAGGCAGACATATGCTTATTGAAATACACCCATCCTGTCATGTGTCTCTTGAATTTCACATAGGACAAAATATTGTTACATAGGTTTTACCCAAATTTACATAAAATATGAGAATTCAAGCCTGGGTAGCAGAAGAAACAGTAGAATGCAATGTGAAGGGAGTTAGATAAGGAGTCCTAGTTATGTCACGAATTTGTAATATGATGCTGAGCAAACCCTTTCCCCTCTCTGTGCCTCAGTTTCTTCACCTGCAAAATGAAGGGGTTGAATGTTGTAGGTTTCAGACTGGAGGGAGCTTTGGAAGTCTTTGAGGATAATGCCACTATTTCCACAAATAAGGAAACTGAGGACCAGAGAGGTTAAGTGACTTTACCAAAGTAAGTAACAGAGCTGATCTCCAGATCCAACTTAAAATCAACAGACTTTAGTGAAAACATCTAGTGTTAGATTCGCTCTTGCTAGGAATGAACTCTTCCCAAAGCTGAGGGAAAGTGCTTGACTCTCTTCCACACCTCTCATGGTCTACCTACCCACAGACATGACTAACTATGTAAAAGTCATAGTCCTTACCCCTGGTACTCACCTATTCACAGCATGTTCCTCATCACCCCTGTGCAATTCACTGCCATTCTCCAAACGCACCATTGAGTCCATGCGCTTCACCATCAACTCCAGTAGGTCGCTCATCTTTCGTAGGACAACCCGGGATTCCAACGCACCAATAACTGTAGTAATAGAACTCAGTAGAATTAGGCCCGAGTGATTATGGCGAGGAGGGTATTTCAGAAGCAACTTGGTTCATAGGGACTGGGGTTAAGCAGAGAGAGCACAGGGCTGAGCCCTACTGCATGGGATCCTTTCTGGTACCCCTGTTGTGCTAAGAATTGCTCCTCAGCAACACAATACCTATATTGGTAGAATCAGAGGCATAGACCACAATCCCAAATTCAAGGGTCCCTTGTAGAGTAGGATTATCCAGGGGACAAATGGACATTTTCCTGAGTACTTGAGTACAACATGCACTTTTTGTAACTTAAATGGAAGAAGGAAAATTGAGAGAATAGCAATGGATCTTTCTAGTTATTCATTCAACAAATATTTATGAGGCACATATCTTATACAAGACAATGTGCTGGGTCCTGGGAATACAAAAACATTAAAAAGAAAAGAAAAGAAAAAGAAAACAATTCCCACTCTAAAGGAGATTCCATTCTACTAGGAAGATACAACATATTCATAGATGAGAAAAAGTAAGAATTTGAGGAAGGAGAGGCCTTAGAAGGATCAGTGAAGGATAGAGGTGGTACCTGAGCTGAGCATTGAAGGATTTGAAGATTCTGAAAGGTGAAAGTGAGGGGGCAATGAATTCCAGCAGACAGAATGTTGAGTTCAGAGGCCAGCTAGTAATTTTTTGGAGTACAGAGTAATGTGAAAGGGGGTAATGGGAAATAATCTGGAAAAACAAATTGGAGACATGTTCTGGAGGGCATTAAATGACAAGGTTAAGGAATTAAGTAAAAAATGAGAGATGAGACAACTTCAAACCAGGCAAATCCCTAGGATAACAAGTCAACAGAGTAGCTATGATTTCATCACTGCTCCTTCCTCTGCCTCACTCTGGTCTCCAGTTGAAAAAAAGTGTAGGTGAACTCCATGCAGAGCAGAATACTAATGTCTTCATTTGAATGCCTTGGGCAAAATTTAAAATTATTCCTCCTACCTCCCATCTCATAGAACCTCCATATAACAGAAGTTCTGAAACCACTTACTGCCTCTATTTTCCATACACCTCTCAACTTGCAATATGGTTTCAACACCACCACCCTACTGAAACTTGTGTCTCCAAGGTTACTGATGAACAATTTACTAATTGTTAAATGTTAGCTTTTTTACATAACTTTTGTGTTATTTTGGGTTTTTTAAAAAAATAATAACTATTTCACCCCACCCACCTTCCCTACTCTTGAAAAAAAGAAAAAAGAAACACAAGATCCTTGGAACAAGTATTGATTGTCAAGCAAAACAAATTACTCCCTTTAGTAATGTCCAGAAGTATATATCTCATTCTGCATCTTGAGTCCCTCAACCTCCCCATCAGGAGGTCAGTAGCAGACTTCATCATTAGTTAGGCCTTTGGAATCATGGTTTGTCAGAGCTCAAGTCTTTTGAAGTTATTTTTCTTTACAATTTTGGTGTTGTAGTAAAAATTGTTTTTATTCTGCTCATTTAATTCTTTATCAGTTCACATAAGGCTTTCCAAGTTTCTCTGAAACCATCATTTTTACTGCCTTTTTTTTTTTGGCTAGGCAATGAGGTTAAGTGACTTGCTCAGGGTCACACAGCTAGTTAAGTGTTATGAGGCCGGGACTGAACTCAGGTCCTCCTGAATCCAGGGCCGGTGCTCTATCCACTGTGCCACCATTGCTTTTTAATGGCACAATGACATTCCATTACAATCACCTACTGTAATTGGCTTTAGCCAATCCCCAATAGGTGGGTACTATCTTAGTTTCCAGGGTTTTTTTTTTCCTACTATGAAGAAATGTTTTATATATATTTTGTACATATGATTCTTTCCCTCTTTGTTTGATTTTTTGAGGGTGTAGACTTAGAGTACTGATATTGCTGGAACAAAGGGTATGCATGGGTTTAGTGACTTTGGGGTCATAGATGAATTGCTTTCCAGAATGGCCAGGCCAATTCACAGCTCCACCCAGAATGCATAATGTGCCTGTTTTCCCATAGTCCTCCCAGTGACTTATTAATTGCCACCTCAATCCTCTGGCTCAGATGTTACAGTGTTCTTTTCAGGTAGGCCAACAGTCTTTTAGCCTAGGATTGGCAGATCTCCTCTTTGACTCCCTCAGAGCCTCGGCTTTGAACAATCCTTCCATATTCAGAGGTAGTTTTCCTCTGGGAGGGACTCTACTTTTAATGATCATTAGCCAAGTTGTGAAGATTCTTCACAAGTCTTAAGCAAAAGAATGGCTGGGGATGAAGGACTGAGTAGTCTCTGCCCTAAGGCAAATTCATTGTCTAGCTGGCTTCTCCATATAAAATTGATCAAGCAAATTCCAGAACCTTTCTAAAGTGTAGAATGACTTCTTTGCAATCTTAAAAGCCTTCCCCCATACATTTTGATGTCCTTGCTCCTCATGTCTTTCAATCTAGTCTAAAAAGGTTGCACTTTTATATATTAATTCAGTGGTCTTTTCTCAGTCCTTATCCTTCTTGACTTTATTTAGCAGTTGACTCATAGACAAAACTCTCCTCCTGAATAGTCTACCCTCCCTGGGTCTTCATGACACTAGTCTTTTCTGGTTCTACTCCTATTTGTTGGACTGCTACTTTTCAGTCTCCTTGATACCCCCTGACCTGTAATGGTGGGTGTCCCTGATAGTTTTGTCCTGGATTTATTCTCTTCTCTCTAAATATATACTATCTTGGTGATCTCATCAGTTCCCAAGGGTTGAGTGATCCTCTTTATGAAGATTATGCCTGAATCTCTATGCCCTACTATTATCTCTCTCGTGAGCTTTCATTCTACATTTGCTAAATGCCTGCTTAACATTTCCACCTGGATGTCTTATACTCATTTCACAAAACCCATTTTCACTCCTCCCAAGTCCATTATTCTTCCAAATTTCTCTAAGTTTATTGAGAGTATCACCCTCCTCCCAGTCACCTGTGTTCCCTATTTCTGCATCGTACTCACCTCCTCAGCTCCAGAGTCTCATTCATTTATCAATTCTACCTCCACTTCTCTCCACTCTCAGGTCTATTAGCCTAATTCAGGCCTTCATTAGCTCTCACCTGAACTATTGCAATAACTCCTCATTGGTGCCTCTGCTTCAAGCTTCCTCCCTCTTGAATTACTATTCAAGACTGCCAACAGGTCTGACTTTGCTCAAGGATGTTAACGCTTCTCTATTACTTTTGGCATACAACATAAACTCTCTAGCCTAGCATTTTAAATCCTTTACAGGCTACATTTTCACACTTACTTCAATCAAATCAGACAGTTTACTATTCCCCCAATTCATTATTCTATCTTCAGCCTCCAGATCTTCTTTACCTGAACTATTCCCTTAGACTCCTGTGCTCATCTTCATCTTTTAGAGTTCTTAATTTTCTTCAGAGTTCAAATCATATACCACTTTGGTGGTGGAAGCAGTATCCTAAAACAGCTCTCTCTTCTTACCCCATTCCCATTCAAGTTAATACTTAAAAGTATTAAAAACCATCAGAGGACCAAAGGCTCAGGCTATTGACAACACTTCTTGATCACCTGAGTACAAAAAAGCTCCAAGGAGCTCCAAACCATCTCCGATGTTTGGCTGGTGGACTCCCATGCATTATTCAAAGGTAGAGAGACTTCAATAAGCTGAACTGATTTATGGTGTCCTCAGTATATATCTTTGTTGAATATCCTTCCCCAGCTATGGCTAGCCACATCTCTCTCTTTAAACAGCTGAATGAACAACAAATGCCTCATTTTGTTCTGATATCAAACTTAAACTTCCTGGGGACTGACCTAAGTCAGGTATAGCTCAGGACAGTTGGCACAGTAATGCAGGATTGAAATGGGATGATCTTGTTGAAGTGGGTGATGGCTGATGGACAAGAAGGTGAGCCCAGACTGGTCTCCATGTTTTTAAAGTTTGTTTACTTTGAGATAATCCCTCTCCCCGGGACGTTAAGGTGCAAACTGTCTTTGGCCATTCAATAAGGACAGATTGATGTGAATATGTTTGGTGTCAATAAGAGCTATACCCTCCAAAACAAAACAAAACTGCTACAGACTGCTGGTGAATGACTTTATATAATTTCTTGAATCTAGGGGCGATAGAAGTCTGGAGGCCCACCAGCTAATAGGCCTAGAGCAAAACCAATCTCTTCCCCTGAGATTGTAATGTTTGAGAAACTGTGGCAAAGAAATTGGGACTTTCTATGTGGCATTTGAGAGGACACTAGGAGTCATGCCACATGGATTTTGTTGAGAAACATATGAAAAGAAATTTCCTGATTCTCTGCAGTAACTCAAGTTGATTTGCTGAGAATAAGGGATATTACAGTTTGAAAAACATAAAAAAGAAAGACGGCTTCCACTCTCACTCTTAAGTTGAGAACTGCAGTTCTCGTTTTCTCTCTCTCTCTCTCTCTCTCTCTCTCTCTCTGTCTCTCTCTCTCTCTCTGTCTCTGTCTCTGTAAGGGGTCCTTGCAGAACTCAGGGCCTAGCATCCTAATCCCCCATGCTGGCAAAAATAGATGGCTACTGTTTGCGTATAGCATAGATAAGTAATTCTGAGCTGGGCAATCCTAGCCTTGGTGGCTATCTTTTAAGTTAGAGGTGTCTGGAGCTCCTGGGCCCTTCAGTGGGTGCCTACTGGCAGCAAGAGGAAATTCCCATAATAGAAAGGATAACTATTGGGAGGAAGAGGAACTCAAGCCTTAGCACAATTGACCAGAATCCATTGTCATTGCCTGACCTACCTGTTGGCTTGTAGCACCTAGACTAGTAGAGGGGACAGCTAGGCCTCAGCAGAGGCATCATAAGTCTGTGGTAAAGCTCTGTCCTGGCATGGGCAGAGGCACAGCAGACTCTACACAGGGATCTTGCCTTGCCTTTGGGAAAGTAGGGGACAATGTGGCAGCACATGCCCATAGCAATACTCTGTTCTAGCATAGGGGTCAAAGCTAGACCCTGGAATAAGGGCCCACCAAG